ACTTTTTTTGGGGGGAGGAGTGATTACTAGGGATTGAACTCAGGGGCACTAGACCACTAAGCCACATCATCCCCAGCCCTATTTTGTATTTTATTTAGACACAGAGTCTCACTGACTTGCTTAGCACCTCGCTTTTGCTGAGGCTTTGAACTACAATCCTCCCACCTCAGCCTCCGGAGCTTCTGGGAATATAGGTGTGCTCCATGGAGCTTGGACGGTGGTTGCCTTTTGCAGGTTTTGAGCTGGAAGTACTGGCATGAGGAAGCCTGTGAGTGTAGCTCAGTGGTAGGGAGCATGCTCAGTCATAGGGAGCATGCTTAGCAGGTACAGAGCCCTGGGTTCAATTCATACTGCCAAAAAATAAAAATAAATATTCAGTGTCCCACTCTAAGTGGTGATTACATGACTATATGCACATGTAAAAGTTCTTCCAACTTAAGATTTGTGTGCTTTACTATATTTAAGACTTTGAACAAAAAGAAAAATATTGTTTTTTTTAAAGAGAGAGTGAGAGAGGAGAGAGAGAGAGAGAGAGAGAGAGAGAGAGAGAGAGAGAATTTTTTATATTTATTTTTTAGTTCTCGGCGGACACAACATCTTTGTTGGTATGTGGTGCTGAGGATCGAACCCGGGCCGCACGCACGCCAGGCATGGCGCGCAACCGCTTGAGCCACATCCCCAGCCCAAGAAAAATATTTTTAAATGTCAGCTTTACTTAAAAATAATTTTATTTAAAATAATATTAGTTAATTAAAATTTTATTCTTTTGTTAACTTTTAATAGATAAGAATATTTTAAGATAGGTGCAGTGAAACACACCTGCAATCCTAGTGACTCAGAAGACAGAGGCAGGAGGATCACATGTTCAAGGCCAGTCTGGGCAACTTGAGGGAGCTCCTGTGTCAAAATAAAAAATAAAAAGGGCTGGGGTGTGTCTCAATGGTAGAGCACACCTGGATTCCATAGCCACTACCACATACAAACAAAAGATTATTTTTAAAAGATATGAAAATAATATTTTTTTAACTTTTTTTGGGGGGTTACCAGGGATTGAACTCTGGACCACTCAACCTCTGAGCCACATCCCCAGCCCTATTTTGTATTTTATTTAGAGACAGGGTCTCACTGAATTGCTTAGTGCCTCATTTTTGTGGAGGATGGCTTTGAACTTGATATCCTCCTGCTCTAGCCTCCTAAATCAGTGGGATTACAGGTGTGCACCACCATGCCCGGCTTATTTTACATTTTTGATATCAACATTCTTTTTTCTTTTTTGAGATTGACATTCTTAATAAAAAATATAACATATTCAGGTTTGTACACTTTAAGTTTTATTACATTTTTCATACTAATCCTTTAGATGATTGCTTTAGATAGAAGATAAATAAAAGCTTTCATGATAACCTAATTAATGACTGTTGTTGAAATGATGGCAAAATAAATTATATAATAAATACATGTCGATATATGCATTACATGTTTTAATCTTATTCCTTATCCAAACATCACTGAATCTTTAGCCAAAACATGCCATAATATTTGAATTCTCTCATTTTTAACATTTCACTTCTCTTTCCATCATATAAAAAACCATATATTTATATTTGGTTGTTGTAAGATCAGGCAGTGGTGATCAAAAGGAGGCAAATTTAAGAAGACTACTGAATGAAGCTTTATTGAGATTTCGCTTCTGGGCAGAACTCTCAGACCAGCAGAGTGGGAAGAAGGTTTGAGGAGAAGCAAGTGACCAGACTGGAATTTTTTTTTTTTTTTT